TCCTAGACTACAACGGTCCTAGACTACAACGGGGGAGCTCGCTCAATACAGAATTGCATATTTAAGGAAAAGATTCCCACATGATCGAGACTATTGTGAGATGGAAAGGTTGAACTCCCACGTGATGAGGGGTATATATGGGATTGAGGGTCTCACACATAAGTGAAGATTGTTTAGAAAACTAATAGACTACACAACAGAGTCCATGTTATATAAGTGTAATACAATAAATAAAATAATTACAAGAGCTTTAATTCCTATAGACATGTATAATTATTATAGAGATTCTCGTGGTTAAACTGGAAGCAAATCATAAAACATAACAGAAGAATAGATCTTAAGATATATTCTATCATCATATTTCTAACAACAACAATTAGATAAAGGGTAATCAATCATAATTAGTTTCACCAGCCTTATTAATTAGCTCATTCATATCATGGCACTAAAACATGCATTTGTCTGCTCATTTTCCTACTTATCCATATTCTAGAATTATAATTTAAGCAGAAAAATCTTCTGTAACAGATGATCAGAAAATTATTGCTTCTCTGAATCTCAGACTATTCGTGAGAGTTTTGGAATGGCACCTGCCATTTGAACTTCAGAATGAGGCTGAAAAGAACTCAGCCAGTTCTTGTTGATTAATGCTTGCCAGGGACGAATCCTCCTTGAATTCTTTGTTTGATGGATATCACTCGTGCTGCAGTACTGTTGCAGCATAAATTATCAAATAAAATAGACCTAAGTATCAGTTTGTAGCAGAAATTTTCAACTAGAGATGTAGCCATGTTCTTGGTACAGTGTACAATCATCTTGTCCCTGTAGTGAGTTGTTTTGTTTTTTATTTAAGGTATATACATTGAATCATGAAATGCACTTTTCAGATCTTCCATGTAGCATAATAAAGCATAATAAAGGCAAGTAGATGGTTTCTTTTAAAAATAAATAGAAAAACACGTTTCTTTACTCAACAACGATTGCTAGCTTCTGCAAATTGTGAATATAATATAAATAATAATGTAAGTGGCGGCTACCTTTTCTCTTTGATTTGGAAAATGGGTTAATCACATTGATGACCATAGTCATTATTAGTCATTATTAGAGACAGCTAAAACAACCATAGATATCGAATATATATCAGCTTAATCAATAATGTTACATTTAGGACACGTAACTATGAAAAATGTTTAAGTGTTCGAGCTTAAGAAAAACTTCCCTTTAATTAGCGTAAAAGTTTAAATTCTATTATTGTTTTTATTCAGAGAAATTGTCTATAAAATGTTATATATAGAACGAAATGAACCCTTGGTTCTGAATGGATATTAAATATTAAATAATAAAAGGAAAGCATAGCATGCTTAGAGACAAATGAAAGTGCCCACATGGATTCCTCTTAAATTAATTAAAGCAACAAAACAAAATAATAATAATAATAAGATAAGAGACTTAACTTCATTTTTTTCATCTGTCGTAATAATAAGGACTTTTAGGACTTCATTCCATTCTAAGATCATTATATTTAGAATAAATGTACACTGGTTTTTTTTTGTGATATAATATTAAGTTATAATCGATTTTTACAAATCTTGCTGCAAGAAAGAAAAAAAGAAAAAAAAATAATATATATATATATACATATATATATATATATATATATATACAAATCTTAATTCAAATAATATGTAGCTAATTAGTTTAATAATTTGATTTTATATATATATATATGTTTTACACAGATATTTATATATTATTCTTGATGATCAAGAAACCAAGAATCAAATTAAAAATATGTGCTAAACTAAATAAAATTTATCAATAACAAAAATATAATAATATATTATTGATATTTGAAAATATACACAAAGCAATTATACTTATTAATCATTTAATAATCTCAAATTAATATGACTTTAATTTAGAAAATATCAAATATATTATAATATTAAAAGTAGAAAAAATAAATTTGGATCAAATGAAAAAAAAACATATTAATGATATATCTACTTTATTTCTACAATATTATAATAATATTTATTATAATATAATATTATTATATTTACAATCTATTTATTAAATCATCACTCAAAACAAAAATTTTTCTACCTTATTGAAACACACACAAATAGAGGGACCATGACATACAAGGTCATATTTTTAATTTGACTCTATGTTCTAACCAATGGTCACACATGAGTTTGAAGTCTCACGTTTAATAGAAACGAGAATGTTAAGTAACTTATAAGTGAGAAAGACTCATAATCTATTACCTTAAAGTTTTTTGTTAAGAGTGGAGTCATATTCTCTTATATGATTGACTTATTGACCCACTTAAGATGGGTTATCATGCATTCAACTACACATTAGATTTAGTCACAATTTATATATCATTTCATTTCTCCCCTATCATGCACACTCTACTCTTAGTTGTGTTTATAAATTACATTAACATTCTTATATATTTATTAACATTTTTTTATTTGAAAATATTCTATTATTTATAATTTAGAGAGGTTGTTGTAAATATTAAAAGTAATTAACATAAATGTTAAAAATAATATATGAGAAAATGTTGTTAAGATATGACTCAATAATTCATAATCACATGTCAAACCAAATATTGGACTATTATTTTTTTCATACAAGAAAATTTAAGGGAGGTGAGTCCTTTGTTCTTTTTAAGGGTCTTCTGCATACATCTAAATTTTTCCATTCTCATGTTGAACTATTATTATAAATATTATAAAAACAAGCTTTTTGAAAGAAGGGGCAATATCATAAGAATAGAAAAGTAAATAACAATAGCTTACAAAAATATTATAAATATTTTTACGGCTTTGTCTAATTATTACTTATAATTAAAAAGAATTCTCATAATTATACTTAGTCAAAAATAGAAGATATGATAAAATATATTTAAAAAATATATATAATTTAAAATCTAAAACAAGCGTACAAGGGCTTTCGATATAATAATTAAAATTTATACATTAATTATACAATAAATAAAAAAATATGTAGTCAAGAAGAAATTTCGTAAATAGTTTTTAGTCAAGTTTCAAACAAAAACATTCAGATAAAGAAAGTAGAAAATAATTTCCTTAAATTAAGATGAAAATAAATTATTGAAAAGAAATATCATATTATTTTTATCATAATAAAAAAATATCTTATTTTCTAAAAAAGAGCTATTTTCAACCATATTTTACAAATTAAACAAAATTTAGTCAAGTTATCAAGTACTTAAAAAACATATCTTGTACAAAATGTCGCCTAAATATATTAATTAATTAATTATGCAATAGACATAAATGTCCCTCCTTTTAATCTCTTACTGTAATAAAAATGGTTCCTTTTATTCCCTTTCTTTATTATTGTATTTCTATAATTCCATTTCTACGTCCCTGTTTTCTTGCATTTTCAAATCACATTCACACTGTGTTTGATCGAACTGATTTACTGTTTATGAAGACAGAAACGAGAGATTCAATTCGTTTGTTGCAAGTGATTTGAGAGAATTTGCAGGCGCGGATTTGAGGGAGAAGGGAGGAAAGCTCACCCTAAAGATTTGAGAGGATTTGAGAGGATAGCAGAGAAAGACACATCATCAAATAGTAAATAATGAGCAAGTTAATGTGATGAGACGATCATCAACATTTCAACATTCGGAGTCAGATATATGGGACATGTTAGTCGGCATGAACCTAAATGACGAGCAACTTATGCTTCAGTGTTATAATCAGTTGTGTACTAACCCATCACATGTTAGACGACTTTTTGGCTTGCCCTCACATCTTCGTCTCTCCCAGTTGTTCATGTTCTTGAATGGAGGTGATTGAATGATCTGAACTGGAGGACTTGACTGCAAAAGATGGATAACATTATAATTATTTGTTTGAAGAGCATTAATGTGCATAGATTTATAATTTTAGTAATTTTTTCTTTAATTATTATTCTATTTTCATTGTATTTTATATTTGTTTTAAATAATAATGTACAATTATATTATTAGTTTTCATAATTATTTGTTATTATCAGTCAATATTAATTATTATTTTATATTTTATAAATATTTAATTATTAGTAAAATTTATTTTTTAATATGTCAACATTATTTGAATATGGATATGCAATGTACATAATTTTGTAATTGTTTATTTATATAATTTTTAATAACTATCTAAAAAAAATTTAATTTTTTAAATTTGTTTCCAATTACAAACACTTTTAAATTTGTTTTTTCTTTTAAATATATAATCAATGTTAAAATATGGATAATTAATTAAAAAATTATATTTATAATCATTTGAACCTTATTTTATACAAAGGATAAAATGGTAAATTTTTTAAATAATCAATTAAAATTATAATTTTTATATCTCATATCAATCAAATCATTCACAATTTCCCATAAACTTTCCTATCACTTTCCATTCATCCAAACAACTTTAACTTTATCTTCATTTCTCTTCAAATCCCTCCTTTTCCACTCTCTCTTTTCACTCTCTCAAATCACTCCAACCAAAGAAAACCTCAAGATGTGGATTTTTTTTTAATTAAATAATATAAATAAATATGTATTGTCATTTAAAAAATTGATATAATATTGTATTAATAAATTACGAGTAGTAGCACACCACCCGAAACTGTACAGTACATTTATTGAACTTAGCCACCATTCATTCACTCACATGAATCAAATCTGGTCTTCTGTCAAACCCAAATTGGACTCTTTCACCGCAACAATGGCCAATGATCTTTTTATTTTAAATAGATTAATTGATGTCCTTTTTTCATTAAATATTTATACTTTTCTTCTTATTTTATACTCAAACTAAAATTCTTTTATCTATTAAAAATGTCATATTTATTGTTATTATTATTTTATGTATGAAATAAAACCTTAAAGTATTAGAACTTTTATGAGTCTCGGAACCTTTAGCAGCACACACTTATATATGTGCAGAGTCTTGGGATCTCCCACTTCACCTCAAATCAAAATGGCTTCTTCTTCTTCTCTCGTTCGCATCATCCTCAAGCAAAGGTCTTCTTCACATGCTGCTCTTGCTGCATGCAACCACCCCACCATGCGGAGGTTCTTCTCCACAACAGCAACCATAGTTGATTCTCCTTCTCTTGCTCAGAGAATCAGAGAGTTGCCTAAGGACCTCCCGGGAACCAACATTAAGAAGCATGTTTCTCAGGTACTATTCACTCTCTCTCTCTCTCTCTCTTTCTCATGGTTTTCATTGCAAGCTTGTATTAGTAATGGGACAGGACAACTTGCGAAGATGAGATTGTTAGTAATTGATTGGTGTCTAAGACAGCACCTGTAGCCATACGCCAACAGTTGTACTTGTACTTGCTTTGCCGTTGTGTGTTTCTGTTGACTCGTATCATGCAACCTGTACCACAAATTATTATTTTTTTCCGTCTTATCCACAGTTTATTCATTTCATGATATGCCAAGACTTTTTGAATCTGATTTTTAAGGTTTTTTTCCCAGCGGGGTTGGGTTGGAAAGCTTCCTGGACTTCTAGTCATGGATCTTGGGATTATTACAGCTGCAAAATTGAGATTTTTGTCATTAAAAACAGTTGTTCTATTTCGAGTTTTTTTGAAACAATTTTATTATTGAGTTAGTATGATACGAAGAGAATCGTAGATGCTTTTGGGGCTTGAGTTTAGGGGAAGGGTTTGGTTTCTCAGTTTACTAAATTATATATATATATATATATATATATATATATATATATATATATATATAGAGAGAGAGAGAGAGAGAGAGAGAGAGAGATCTTTTTCTTTTTTCTTTCCTTTTTCTCACGCACATGCAAAAATGAAATAAAACTTGAAGAAGAAACCATTTTGCAGAATAAAACTTGAAAAGATATGTTACAGTGTATTCAATTCTTGTCTGAAGTAAAACAATTCAATTTTTTAGCTGATTGGGAGGACTCCACTGGTTTATCTTAACAAAGTCACCGAAGGATGTGGAGCATATGTTGCTGTCAAACAAGAGATGATGCAGCCTACGGCCAGCATCAAAGACAGGTCAATTCCTTTCTATTTTCAATTCTATTTATAATTCTGTTTTTCTACTTTGAATTCACAATTTTCATATTCTTAATGGTAGTAAAAAAATTCAGATTAATACGAAACTACTGTAATTTTCTTTTGATTTTACAGGCCAGCATTTGCAATGATCACAGATGCTGAGAAAAAGAATCTGATAAGTCCTGGAAAGGTTAGCTAATTTTATATATAGCAATATTGCTCGGTTATTATTCACATATTGATGCTCATAGTAACCTTAATTTATGTTGTAGACAACTCTGATTGAGCCTACATCCGGAAATATGGGTATCAGCATGGCATTTATGGCTGCCATGAAGGGATACAAGATGGTTTTGACTATGCCCTCTTACACAAGCTTGGAAAGAAGGGTGACCATGAGAGCATTTGGAGCTGAATTAATCCTCACTGATCCAACCAAAGGAATGGGAGGAACAGTAAAGAAGGCGTATGAACTTTTGGAAAACACACCAAATGCTTTCATGCTGCAACAATTTTCAAACCCTGCCAATACACAGGTTACCGAGTTCTGTTTGGAATCTTTTACTAAGAAAAATAAAAATATGAAGAACTATGCTTTTTTAAGGCTTGGTTGTAAAAGTCTAATACTAGATGTAGTTCTGCAATCCTTGGATTTTACAATGGTGAATTTATTTATAAATTGACTTCAAATGGGATGCAGGTGCATTTTGAAACAACAGGTCCTGAAATATGGGAGGATACAAATGGACAAGTTGACATATTTGTCATGGGAATAGGTAGTGGAGGTACGGTCTCTGGGGTTGGACAGTATCTTAAGTCCAAAAATCCTAATGTTAAGGTGATGTTCTTCAGATCACCAATTCAAATTACAAATAAACAGTGTTCTGTTAGATACATTTATTAAACCCCTTGAACTCCTTTTGATTATTAGATATATGGAGTGGAGCCAAGTGAAAGCAATGTGCTGAATGGTGGTAAACCTGGTAAGGATCAGGCCTTTTTTTCTTTTCTTTGAATATTCTTTTACTTTTTGTATGATAATTTTGTACATTGTTTCATCTTGAATGTTATATGTCAGTCTTCCAAGCAACCTAAGGTATAAGGTAAAATTGAAAAGGATGGGCATATAAGGCTCTAAATGTTTACATATCCATTTCTGGCATTGGTAAAATGAAGAAATAATATAAATGTTAAAGAAGCTTAATATTAGGATCTAAAGTAGCAAAACAAAAGTAACCACTATGGTCTGAGTGTGATATCTGGAAGCCCGTACTTGTATTTACAGATTGCAAATTCTGCTGTTGTAATTTTGTATAGGTCCTCATCATATAACTGGCAATGGAGTTGGATTCAAACCAGACATATTGGATATGGATGTAATGGAAAAAGTTCTTGAAGTAAGTAAGAATTTTGCTTCCAACGTTGCTGGGATGTCATGTTACATCGTGATACCTATCATGTCAATTTTATATTAAAAAAAGTGAGAATTTTGCTTCCTTCTACATAGAGATTTAGCAGGGAAGTTTTACATTCTTATTTTTCTGCCATCAGGTTAGCAGTGAAGATGCAGTTAACATGGCTAGGGTGTTGGCCTTGAAGGAAGGACTCATGGTAATCTTCAAGAGACAATTTTGTAAACTTAAACAATAAATTCACGATAAACTTCAAGCTTCATTCATTTAGCCATGTATTTCACCCTAAGATTTGCAGCTGATACCTTAGTAACTGACAAATACTACTTCATAAAATGGTAATGAAATTCTGAATTTGCAACTATATTTTCTTTGTAAATTTTCCAGGTAGGGATATCATCTGGAGCTAACACAGTTGCAGCACTCAGATTGGCTCAGCTGCCTGAAAATAAAGGCAAGCTTATTGTGGTAAGAACAGTTTCCTTAACACAACATCAAGCAAAAGGTTCAGCGTAATGTATAATCAGCCTCAGAATCTAAATTCACAACAGTCAACACAATGATTTGCACAATTTTTCTTATCACCAATGCATCCCATGATTCTGTAAAAATTGCTTAGCACTACAACTTTAGTCAGTAAACTTCTCTGCCTATGATACTGATTTGTTATAACCATTGATAACTTGAATCTCAGACTGTTCATCCCAGCTTTGGTGAACGATACCTGTCATCTGTCCTGTTCCAAGAACTTCGTCAGGAAGCTGAAAACATGCAGCCAGTAGCAGTTGATTAATGCAACGCATAAGCACTGACTCAAAGCTTTGTTGAGGAGTCACATTACATGGATCAACCTAGTTGTTACAATCTTGTTGTAGCAAAAATTGTGAACACCATCTACAATTCTGCCACAGCAGAAATTGTCAGCAGAAGCTGTATTAATTGGGAAAAGGTTTTGATACAGCTTACAATAATCTTTTCTTGATGTTTTGAAATATTTTGGCAAACCGTGTCTTCTTTTGGCATGTGATGTGTTACGTTTCTTCTTAAAACAAGACCAATCAAACTTGTCTGCATTGCCAAATTTCAATCTTTGCAAAAAGCATAATTAGGTGCAAAGGCCAACTTAGCTTTAAATAATTCAGAATAACAATAATTAATAATGCATATTAAAGAATAATAGTTGCTAGTATTTAGCTTCAATTACCAATGATGGGTAGGGGACTTTCCTATGTCTAAAATAGAATGCTCGAACTTAAAAGTGTGAATTTGGAAAAAATACGTTGAGGTGGGTGGCCAAAGCAAATGCACCAACAATGGCTTGAAATAATAGGTAGAGATCTCTTGGTTTTAAATTAAAAGCAAATTAGACCATAAAGTTTTGACCTTTTATGTGTTCATGTGACATGGCGTAAGAGGCCAACTATGTTCCTTATAGATAAAAAGGGTGTATCTAATCAACTTTACTACTTGATATATAGAAATGATAAGTAACTTATGTTAGTGTAAGGTTTTTACGTGTGATTTTAATGTCAATTTTTCAATTTAATAATTGATTTGATAAAACTATATCCAATACAAAAAAATATTATATAATTTGACAACCATTTAAAACAATGTCTCTCTCATCACATATGTAAACAAATTATTTTTTCTCTTAAATAACTTTTTTTTCCTTTATAAATTTGAAGATTTTGATGAAATCCTAATAAATAGTTTTCTCAATTTAATTCACCGTCAATTTTTATTTTATTTTTTTAATTTTTAACATTTACTAACATCCATTAAGTGATATGCAATCTAATGTGTATTTTTATTCCTTTTATCCTCAAATATATATTTTGTTTCATTTTCGTCTCCCATAACACTTTTTTATTGTTGTTTTGCTCCTTGTCAATTATTAATTTTTTATGCTTGTAAAATGAAAGAATAAAAAAAGAGAAAAAAGAAGAAAAAAAAGTGGGCCCAAGTACTCTTTTCATAAGCTTAATGGCGAGCCCAACCCAATATAAATGCCCACAAAACCCATCAACTTCAAATATCCATTTGATGATGTGGAGATTGCTTGAATACAAAATGGTACATTTTTTATGAAGAACATTATTGAAGGGGGGAAGAATGTTTAGCAGAAGTTAATAATATATTTGTTTCCAATTAAAAAAAGTAGGATTTTGCATCTTGTTGGAATGGAGTGCACCTGGGCCACTCCTACCCTACAACATCACCTTAGACAGGGTGCAGGTGAGGGACCTTCCTTTGCTTCATATCCCACTTCCATTTGAAGCAGGGTACTATATTTAGGGTTTTGCCTTTTTAGAAATTAACCTGTGGTAAATAGTTTTCTTTTTTTAATAACTAAATATTATTTGCGATTTTTTAATCTTATTAATTTTTTTTTCTTTTAAATTAATGATAAAATGAAAATATATTTAATTAAGTAAAAAGTAAAGTGTATTCTTCAAAATAAAGATTCATTTTTTTATTTTTCCTGATAATATGTAAAAGGAATGGGTGTCTTAGTAGACATGATGTTATAAATTTCAACATGACATTAACTCAGACAAATCATTGAGTCCCTAAGTCAACGGTAGACTCAAATGATTTATTAAATTTAATGAATTAATCAATATTTAATTTGTTAATTTTATTAGAGAAATATGTATATACATAACATTTGCCCCATGGATGAACATTCAATTGTTTTTCAAAAATAGATACGTCTACTTTTTTTAATTTTAAAAATATATATTGATTGTATTAAATATATGACATGCTATCCCACCAACGTTGTAATAGTCGTTTTGGTTTCTTTTGATGAACGAATCCAAAAGAAAATATATTTTAAAATAAAAATTATTTAAATAAAAGTTATATAAATTTATTGAAATTTACTTCTCATCTTTCTCCTTCTATTTTACTATTTTTCTTTTTCTTTTTAGTCTCCCATCTTAGAAAATATTTTATTTAAGTAATTTTTTAATATATTATTTATAATATTTTTTAAATTTTTACCGAATGATTTTTTATTCAACAAATTATATATATATATATATATATATATATATATATTACAATATTTGTTGAAATATTTTAATTAAGAGCAAATTTTCTTCTAGTACTAGTGATATTAGAGTAAAGTGAGATGAAAAAAAAATATGACTTTAAAAGACAATCAAAAGTTAAGTGTAGTAAAACAAATATATATTCAATCGATTTTCCATATAGTTAAAAAAAAATGTTGAAGATGAGTTTGAAAAGATAAAACATTGATGAAGGTGTAGAATTTCTACACCGAAAAATAATGTAAAAATTCTTAAAAAATAGTTGAAAAATAATGTTGAGTTTTTTCATATTTATAATAGTGACTATAATTGAATTTAAAATATGTTGAGGATACTTAAGATATTTGAAACTCCTTATGTTTTAGAATTCCTCTTCTTACTTATTTTATTTTTGTTTGTAACTAGTTTAATTATTTTGATAAAAATAATTGAAATGAATAATGTTATATTTAGTGATAAATTAAAAATGTTATTTTAAATAATATAAGATACAATTGAAAAAAGTATTATTTTTATCGGTTGGGGAGTTTTTGCGGATTTTACAGTATTAAAGTTTAATTAAGATCTTCTTGTTGTGTTGATTTCTATAAGTAATATATTTAAATTTTTATTTCGTTTTAAATGAGACAAATTATATAATATTACTTTCATATTATTAATAATATTTTTTTAAGGGTAATTTTTATAAACAACTGTATATATTTATAATTTTATATTTATATTTTACTTTTTAGCCACTTCAAAATAATTCAATCATTATAATTAATATTAATTTATTATAAAAAATAATAAAAATTCATATATGTATATTAAATATATTATATAGTATGAGAAATAAAAAAATTATAAGTTATTTACAATAATAAATATGTATTATTTTTGTTATTTTTAAGTCGAAATAGAATATTTTTGTTTAAAAAACAAATTTTTATCCATTCATTTAATATGTTTAATTACTATTTCCAATGGCTATCATAATATTTTTATGAAAAATATAACCATTAAATTAAGTCATATCTTTGACTTTAGTTTCCATATAAAGAAAATAAAGTGTAAAAAAAAGATATAAAGTCAACTAAAAATTATTTTTATTCATTTAACATAAAAGTATCATGAAATAAAGAAAAATAATTAATTTAAAAATAATAAATAATTAATTTAAGAATAAATATTTTATCAATTACAAAATTATTTTTTATTAATAAAATAATTTTAAAAAATAATATGTTTAAATTAATATTTAAATTTTTAATAATATATAGTTTGATATATATTTATAAAAAATTATATTTTTTCTCTAAAAAAAATTTAAAATTTAAATAATTCATATTATAAATAAATATTAAACACATGTTAAATTATATGTTTAATTTTTATAATCATGATATTTCATTAAAATAATAATTAAAAGTATATATAATATAAAAAATAATAATTATTTAATTAATTAAAGATAATTTTGTAAAATTATATTTTAAATTTTTATTATTTTTTACTCATATATAAATAAAAAGTTAAAATGTATCTTATCATGTGAAAAATAACATTTATTTATGTTATTTTCCTAAAAATGAAATATAAAACAAACACTCTAAAAATTTGTAATTTTGTTTTATTTTCTTGTTAAACATTCAACGTTACTAAAAATTTAAAAATTATAATTATTACATAAATCAATTCATAAAATATAATTTTTTTATTAAATAAAAAAATTAATACCATGTGTTGAAAATAATCTATATTAGAATGATATTTCAATTTAGATAATGCATAACAACAAACTCATCGTTATGGTTAAATTAATTTAATAACACTATATAAATATAAAAATGTAGTATATTAAATGAAAATCATTTTTTTTGTCTAAAACTGATATTAATTAATATAGACTATTTAATAAATAATTTAAATAAAAATATAATTAGTTTAACTAGGCATCATTTTTAATTTATGTCTTCAATTAATAGAAAGAAAACTGTGAAAATATATAAAAAGATAAAAAAAATGTACTTATTCATTTAATAATGAAATCACATAAAAAATAAATGAAATTTATATTTTTTAAATAATAATAAATAAAATGATATAATTTTAATAATTATATATTTTTTTTATATTTTTCACTCATTTTCTTTTTATATGTGGTGTGATACTGGAAATAATATTTATTATTATTATTATTTTATATTCATTTCCAATATTAATTAACTCTCTCTAAGTGAATGGACGTTAATATTGATATATAATTATATATTTTAATGAGTTGCAACATTTTTTTATTTCATAAAAAAAAAACGTAATGAAAATAAAGATTTATTCATGTTATTAAAGGGTTCCATTTAAATTTTGATCATTACATACTGTGTCGAATAATCTTATAAATAATATATTTTAAATTTTTTTATTATTTTATTTATTGAAGTAGATCAATTTATTATTTATATGTTTTTTTTTCATAATTTTCTTTTTCTTTCTCTCTGATTCTTTATCTTTTTTCTTTTTTTACCTGACATTTTTTGTTTTTCTCTTTCATCTTCTTTTTATTCTTTCTAATTAAATTATTATATTGAAATTTAATAAAATATTTAAAAAAAATATTTTAAAATCAATCTTGAAACTAAAAAAAAATCAAATAATTTATTGAATTATGATAATAATAAATAATTTTATTTATTATGATATTAAATAAATTTATTTATGATGATGTAAATAATTAATTTAAATTATTTTAATAATAAATAATTACTCATCTGATTATAAAAATTAAATATTTATAAATTAAATGTAATTTTTTATTTAATAATTTAATTTAGTTATAATTAGATTGAATTATAATAATTAGATTAGATTAGATTATTTTAAAAAATATTTAATAAAAAATTAATTTAAAATAAATATTTTTTTTTATAAATAATAAAATATTCACTTTATTAAAATTTAATTTAATATTTTTAATTAAAAAGTAAGATGGAGTGAAAAAAATAGAAAAATAAAAATAAAACAATAAGAAATAAACGAATAAAAAAAAGAGAAAACAAAAACTGTATTAGATAAATTTATTTTTCTTTATTAATTTTTGTATTTAAACAATAAATAGGTCTAATTAAATAAATAAATTTTTAAAATATTATGAAATAATTTTTTTAAAAATATATTATTTACATATTCCTTCACAATGGTTCTTCATTCATTAAAACATTGAATTTATACGTATTTATTAGGAAGGATTAACGTCAAAATTCATTTAATATATTATATTATATCTTTTTATTACTTTTGACCCAAAAAAGTAGTAACTATTAGTTTTATATTCTATATAATTTTTTAATATATATAATTCAATATTTTAAAATATGAAACATGTATAACAATTTAATTATTTATATTTGTAAGATAAAATTATTGTTTGTATTGTATTCAAAAATAAATTATCTTAATTTACAATATTATTTTTTATCTTAATTATTTTTTGTTAGCACTAATTATTTATATTCAATGATAAAATATTATAAAAAAATAACAAGGAGAAAAAATAGAGAAGAGTCATATTTGTCAATTTAAAACATGTTTAAAGTTTTAATGTTTATATGTGAGGAGTTTTATTTGAAGGTCAAATAAAACTGTAAAATTCTTAAAAGAATAAAAATAAAATCTAAAATTTTAATGTTATATTAACTAAAATATTTGAGTTAATAATTTAAAGAAATGAGTTAAAGTTTCCTACTTTATGCCATTTTAAATAAATAAATAGCAAACGTTGAAACGAAAGGCTCTTTATTAAATATGTAATAAAATAAATAATTTTGCATTTAAAATCGTATTAAATTTAATCATAAATGAAGATGTGAAGTACAAATAAATATTCCATTATTAAAAGAGGAACTTACATTAAAATTACACAATGTTTTAAATAAATCTGCTTTTCAAAAAATACATGATAAACTAAAAATTTATAGCTGCTGTTTTGTTGTGAATTTGAAAATTTCAGACCAGTAAAATTTATTTTCAAAATAATTTAAATTCGTTTATAATGAATAACTTTCATAAAAAATTATATTTTTCTTGATATACATCTTCTAATAAAAAATTCGTTTAAAAATAATATAGGATATTAAATATGAATACATCTTCTAATAAATATCATCAAATACGTGAATTGACTGCTATAATATTGTTCTAATTTAAATCTTGAATCCAAATCCTATATTTACAACTTTATAAAAAATCACATGTTAAAAAAATAAATTTAAATATATATTTTATCTTTAAATATGTTAGTATTTTTCTCCTGATTTTTAATAAAAAAAAATTGTTTTCTTTCTGATTTTTTATTTTGTCCTTAGCCTGTTAAATTAATATATCATCCTGTGTAAAATTTTGAGATAAGTCTTGAGAGGGGAACAATTTATTAGAGTCAAATTTTTCTAAAGATGGAATATAGAATGATTTTTTTAGAGAATAAAAGGTAAACAATTTGAAACCTAAACATATTTCAGAAATAAAAGCATAGTTAAATAAAAATATTTTATATCATACTTTTCAATAATTTTTCTAAGTTATGATGATATTACATGAAATATCTATTAGTTTTATTAATAATTATTATTTTTTTATATATATAAAATCTGCTTGCTATAATGAAGATAACGTGTTGGAATACGTTTCATTAAGTTTGTTTTGTGACAAAACATTTAATTTAAAAAATTGTAAAAACAAATAAATCCACGAGCGTTTCGAGTAATGTAATTGTGAAAAGAAGGAAGGGCAACGTGAATTGCAAGTTTCCGTAAATCTGTAACCGTAGCGGTTTGGACATATAAATTGGACAGAGTGAGAAAGCAGAGAAGCAGAAAGAGAAAGGTTTGTCACCCACCTGAGGAAAAAAGAAAATAACATAAACACTATTTTTATTTTTATAAAATGGAAAAGAAAAACGAAGTTTAGAAAAAAAAAATAATTTTTTTCCTTAGGGTTTGACTGTGAATTGCGACATCCGTGTGGCCCAAACAGTGGAATCACCGAATCCGTCAAGTTCGGTCCTCTGCAGGGAAAGATCTGTCCCCAATTGCCCGAAAGTTGCGGATTCTAGAGAGAGAAAGTGGGTGTCAGTAGCCGCAGCTAGAGAGAGAATTAGATTTTTTTGAACGTTGGGATCGGAGGGAAAAAATGTGGGTTTCTTCAAATTTGGAGGGATTCTGAGGTTCTGCCATTTCTGGGTATATTTGTTTTATTCAAAGTTTGAAGCTTTTTATTATTATTCTTGCTTGATCAGTGGGTGTGATCTGAATTTTGATGATTTCTGCAGGCGGTGAATTCTGGGGTGGTTGCATGCAATCTGGCGGCGGCCCCTGTGGTGGGCCGGGCCGGAATCCGGCGGGCAGGGCAGCATCGACGTCGTCAGCGGCTGCGTCGCCATCTTCTTCGTCATCAGCGGCGTCACACTTAGAGTCATTGCAGCAGCATCAGCAACAGCAGCAACAGCAGATAGGTTCTAGGCAGGTGTGGATTTCGATTGGTTTAGCTGAATTTCTGTGAAAATTTGGTTGAATTGCGCTTTTTTTGTTGGCAAGTGATGCGAACTGTGCTACCTGGTTGTGCTGCTGATTCTGATTTTGGAACAAATGGGAGTGCGAAAAATGAGTTATGGTGGAATTTGCATTTAATGCACATGGTGCGAGGTTTAGTTAGTTGTTTGAGTTTGTGTGTGTTTTTTTCCTTCTTTTTTAACCAATTGATTTTCGGTCAAGGAGCATCATCATATGGAAACTCAAGGAATTATTGAATCTGGGAATGATTGGTGCAGTTTTGTGCTGTTTATGTTGTCTATTCCCATCTAGCTTCCTTTTCATCCAATGCCAGCATGTACTCTTCTGTTGACTTTTAATTTTTTTGCTAATTGGTCTTTGCCTTTATTTTTTGTTGATGTGTTTTTTTTTGGGTGTGTGGTGTTGAATTATAGGAAAAATTGACTATTCTGCATGGGTTTTTTATTCTGCACTTTTCTAGGGAATTTCCTTTTAAAGGTTGATGATGATTGATAATGAAGCATCAGGGTAATAAAATTTGGAGTTTATATTCTTGTTAAATGGACCCCTCTTTGGCTTTCCACCTCTCTCTTCAGGTGCATTGTTGAAATTTATAGACGCTATTTACTACTCCGCACTATGGATTCCCCCCTTGTTCTTTCCTTTGAGTAAATTGTACCTGACAGATTAATTATGGATTTTAACTACACAAGCTACAGTGGCAACTTGCTATAATAAAATCAGGGTTTATGTTCTGGTCTAATGAACCCCTTTTTTTGATTTTCTAACTCTCTTCAGGTGCTATTGTTGAAATTTATGTATGTTGATTTACTCCGTTGGAATATGAATTCTATCTTTGGTCTTTCTTCGTGTGAGTAAATGGTTTAAGTTTAAAGACATTGATTAATTGTGGATTGTAACTAAACAAGCTGCAGTTGCAACTCACTAAAAAGTGTTCTGTCGTCAACTTCTGCATATTGTCAATTTGTATTAACGTTCTTGCTACCTATCTGTTCTGTTACTTCTGTTATTATGCTTGACAGATTCATAATGGATTTTAACTACACAAGCTACTGTTGCAACTTGCTAAAAGATGTTGATGATGATTGATAATGAAACATCAGGGTAATAAAACTTGGGGTTTATTGTTCTTGCAACCCCTTTTGACCTTCTAACTCTCTCTAGGGTAATAAAACCTGTTTTTTTTTTTGGTTGAAATTTATGCATGATGATTTACTACTTTGGATTATGAATTCTCCCTCAAGTTTTTCCTTATGTGTTGAGTAATGATATAAGTTTAAAGACATTGATTAATTGTGGATTGTAACTAAACAAGCTACAGTGGCATCTTGCGAAAAGTGTTACTTCGTGATTATGAATTCTCTAATTAGTCTCTCTTTATCTTTATCTGTTGAGTAAATGTATAAGTTTAAAGACAATTTTTACTTGTGGATTGTAACTTCACAAGCTACAGTTGCAACTTGTAACTTGCAAAAGTGTTATTTCGGCAACTTCTGCAGATTGTCAATTTGTATTAACTGTTTTTTTACTGCCTCTTTCTGTTACATCTCTTATTATTAGTAAAAGATGGATGATCAATGATTGGTATTTTGTGTACCTTGTTGACTTATAATTTTCTATCAAATGCAGTCTTAATGGAAAAACCATTCTTTTATCGGCTTCTTTCTCAAAATGGCATGACCATTAATACATGTCTGGTTTTCTTTATGATTTATAGTATTGTTACTTAAGAATATGTCATTACTTGCAACTGTGGTCTCATTTTCTAGTTCATGGTAATGCTAATTCAGGATATAGGTCAATGTTTTGTTTTCCCTGTATTTCATGTTAATATTAGCCTGCAGGAATCTTCATCAAATTTTGACGTACGTTTTAGGATACGAATTCAAAAGTGGGTATTGGGAACCAATTTACCGTATTTATACTCTGAAAAGTGTGTCTTGATATCTATGAATTTGGAATGTGATCTTATAAGTTATAACAAGTATTGATGTTATTTTGATAATTATGTCTTTTTTGAGTAACCTTTAACCATAACATTTGTCTTATGTAATAATGACCTTGACTCAACCTTTTACATCAGCAGTCATTTCAGCAGCAGCTGCTTAGAAAACCAGAAGGGAGTGAAGCATTTTTGGCATATCAAGCAGGTCTTCAAGGATTATTTGGGAGTAACAATTTCTCATCTAGTTCCATGCAGCTGCCTCAACAATCTCGAAAATTTGCTGATTTAGCTCAGCATGGCTCCAACCAGGGTCAAGGTGTTGAGCAGCAAATGCTAAATCCTGCACAAGCAGCATACTTTCAATATGCTCTGCAGGCTTCACAACAAAAGCCTGTTTTGGCAATGCAGTCACTGCAGCAACCTAAAATGGGAATGCTGGGCCCTTCATCTGTAAAGGATCAGGACATGCGAATGGGAAATTTGAAAATGCAGGATCTTATGTCCATGCAGGCGGTAAATCAAGCTCAAGCATCCTCATCTAGACATTCGTCTGACCATTTTACTCATGGGGAAAAGCGGGTAGAGCAAGGGCCCCAGCTAGCACCTGCACGGAAGAGTGAAGGAAATTCTTCAAGTCAGGGACCAGCTGTTGGAAACATAATACCTGGAAATATTATAAGACCTGTGCAAGCTCTGGCAACTCAGCAGAGCATCCCGAACGCGATGAACAACCAGATTGCAATACCTTCTCAACTGCGGACTATGCAGGCATGGGGAATTGAACAAAATGTTGATATGTCATATCCTGTAAATTCTCAGTTAATGGCTCCGTTCATGCCATTGATGCAATCAAGGATGGTTCAACAACCAAAGGGGAACGATACTAACTCAGGTGCACAGTCATCACTTGTCCCTGTTTCAAACCAGCAGGTGACTTCTCCAGCAATTGCAAGTGAGAGTTCAGCACGTGCTAGTTCATCTGGTGATGTGTCTGCACAGTCAGGTTCTGTGAAAACCAGGCAGATGGCTCCACCCAACCATTTGAGCCCACAAATTAGTGCTGTTATAGCCAGTAGCTCTAGTGATATGACAGTGCATCAATTCAGTCTTCATAGCAGAGACACTCAAGGATCGTTGAAGCAATCAGTTCTAAATGGAAATGGAATGCCTTCTGGGCATCTACAGCAGACTTCTGCAAACATGAACACAAGTGTAGATCATCCTCTGAGTGCAAAAGCTTCATCATCTGGTCCAGAACCTGTGAAAATGCAGTACATCAGGCAATTAAACCAATCTGCTTCTCAGGCTGGAGGTCTGACAAATGGAGGTGGAGCAGGAAATTACACCAAAACTCAAGCAGGGCCATCTCAGACGCCTCAACAAAGAAATGGTTTCACCAAACAACAGCTTCATGTTCTCAAGGCACAAATACTAGCATTTCGGCGTCTGAAGGTTTAATATCTTTTTTCCTTCTTCATTCTGCCTGCATGCTTAGTATGTGTTTTTATGCTATTTATGTAGGCCTAATGAAAAGAAAATATACTGCATAATATTTAATGGAGATTGTGGTCACTGATTTTTTTTTCTTGTTGTTGATAGAAAGGAGAAGGTGCACTTCCCCAAGAACTTCTTCGGTCCATCATTCCACCACCTCTTGATTTGCAAGTGCAGCAGCCAATTAATGCTGGGGGAGCACAAAATCAAGAGAGATCTGCTGGAAATATTGTGGCAGAACAACCAAGGCAGAGTGAGTCCAATGCCAAAGACACACAACATATCCCATCCATTAGCAGAAAGAGCTCTTCAAAGCAGGAAGCCTTTATCAGAGATGAGAGCCACACTGTAACAGCAGTTCATATGCAGGCCACACCTCTTGCGACAAAGGAATCTGCTGGGAAGGAAGAGCAGCCGTCTGTTGTATGCTCTGCTAAGTCTGACCAGGAAAGTGAACATGGAATTAACAGAATGCCTGTTAGAAATGAGTTAGTATTAGACAAGGGAAAAACTGTTGCTGTCCCTCAGGTTTCTGTAACTGACACAATGCAACTTAATAAACCTGCACAGGTGAGCACTGTTGCCCAGTCCAAGGATGCGGGATCCACCAGAAAATACCATGGACCCCTATTTGATTTTCCTTTCTTCACCAGGAAGCATGATTCCTTTGGGTCATCAATGATGCTAAACAACAACAACAATTTGTCTTTGGCATATGACGTGAAAGAACTACTTTTTGAGGAAGGCATGGAGGTCCTTAGCAAGAGAAAGACGGAGAATTTAAAGAAGATTGAAGGTTTACTGGCAGTAAACCTAGAGAGGAAAAGAATTAGGCCAGATCTTGTGTTGAAGTTGCAAATTGAAGGGAAAAAGCTTCGCCTTTTAGATCTTCAGGCTCGTTTAAGGGATGAGATTGATCAACAGCAACAAGAGATAATGGCAATGCCAGATAGGCCATATCGGAAGTTTGTTAGGCTGTGTGAACGTCAGCGAATGGAACTTGCTAGACAAGTGCAGGCATCTCAGAGAGCTTTAAGGGAGAAGCAACTGAAATCTATATTTCAATGGCGCAAGAAGCTTCTTGAAACACACTGGGCCATTCGTGATGCCCGAACTGCTCGCAACAGGGGGGTGGCCAAATATCACGAAAAGATGTTGAGAGAGTTCTCAAAACGTAAGGATGATGACAGAAATAAAAGGATGGAAGCCTTAAAAAACAATGATGTTGACAGATATAGGGAGATGTTGCTGGAGCAGCAGACTAGCATTCAAGGCGATGCTGCGGAGAGATATGCTGTCCTCTCAACTTTCTTAACCCAGACTGAAGAGTATCTCCATAAATTAGGAAGTAAGATAACCACTGCTAAGAATCAGCAGGAAGTGGAGGAGGCTGCAAAAGCCGCAGCAGCCGCCGCACGATTGCAGGCATGCTTCATCAATCTCCTTAGTAAAATAAAAATTAAAAAATCCAGTGGCATGGGAGAAAACCTTTATTTTGTGTGCCCGTGTTCTTTTACTTTGTATAATTCATTTGTGGTGTTTGTTTTTATGTATTTTTTAAAATTGTTTGAAGTCATACTTAATCATTGATATCATTTTATTTTTTATGGCTAAAGGGTCTTTCTGAAGAAGAAGTCAGAGTGGCAGCAGCTTGTGCTGGAGAGGAAGTGATGATTAGAAATCGTTTTATGGAGATGAATGCTCCTAAAGACAGTTCATCTGTTAGCAAGTGAGTATTGCTCATTTTTTTTGTGTATTTTTGAGTTTTGTGGTTTTGGCATCATGAAGCTTGAGGTCAAGTGTATTTTTACAGCTAGTTTTTGCTTAATATATGCTAACTGCCTAACTATAATATTAATTGTAATTGTAACTGTAACTGTAACACTTTGACATTGTTTATTGAAGTTATGATTTTTGTACATGTTGGTTGTGTAATTATTACATCAGATTGCTGATGCTTGCCATATTGGCCACATACCAGGTATTACAGCCTTGCTCATGCAGTGAGTGAAAAGGTTGTACGTCAACCATCAATGTTACGGGCTGGAACACTTAGAGACTATCAGCTGGTAGGTTACTGAGTTTGTTCAAATTGTCTACAATTGCTTACTATCTTTTTGAGTAATCTTTTAAGGATTTCAACATATTATCTTTGAAGGTCGGTTTGCAATGGATGCTTTCCTTGTATAACAACAAATTAAATGGAATTTTGGCAGATGAGATGGGTCTTGGCAAAACTGTACAGGTTAGTATTATGATTTTCTGTGTTATTTAATACATGAAAAATATCTATCAGTATCTTTTCAGCTTAGGGATTTTACAATTCATATTAAAGTTTGTTGCATCATGCATAGTTGTTGTAAGAAGATACTCCTTTTATTTCCATGATAGTTACTGTGATGGTTTTGTCAACCTCTTAAAACAAATATTTGTGTCCAGGTTATGGCATTAATTGCCTACTTGATGGAGTTTAAAGGAAACTATGGCCCACATCTTATAATAGTCCCAAATGCTGTCATGGTTAACTGGAAGGTGGTCTTTCAACTCTTTCATTTCAGTGATATTTTTTTGTTATCAAGTGTCCCTTTTGATGGAAGAAACTTTTGTTCACTACGCAGAGTGAGTTGTACACTTGGTTACCATCTGTGTCATGCATTTTTTATGCTGGAGGGAAGGATTACCGGTCAAAATTATATTCACAGGTAAGTGTGCCAGAGCTTATTAATTTATGAGTAATTTAATGTTCAATGCTGAGTTTCCTTTTCTGTAATATTTGAAGGAGATTATGGCTATGAAATTTAATGTCCTGGTGACTACTTATGAGTTCATCATGTATGATCGGTCAAGGCTTTCAAAAATTGATTGGAAGTATATAATAATCGATGAAGCACAGAGAATGAAAGATAGAGAATCAGTTCTAGCTCGTGATCTTGATAGATATCGATGTCAAAGACGCCTGCTTCTGACAGGAACACCTTTACAGGTTTATTTTGCTTTGATACGGATGCATTGTTGCTGTAGTTTTCCTGTTTATTGACAATGTCTTTGCATGTTCCTATTTTGGCACAAAGCTTGTTCTGTCCTTGGTAACTATTCAAGATATTAAAACCATTCATCTGCCTTCCTTGAAACATTTATCATTTGCTTTATGAAGTCTCTTTCCTTGACACATTTATTATATCCTTAATGACCAATTGGCCATAAGTTCAGTCTTTGGAATCTCCATTCTTCTGAATAAAATAAAATTTCAGCACAAGGTAGAGTTGGCATTTACATTTTCCATGCTTTAAATCCAAAGGGTTATTTTGTGAAGGAAGTGTTAAAGATAATTAAATCATTCATATGCTTTTACCTATTAGTTTAAGCTTTTAGGAGTTGTGTTTGACCGTAACAGAATTTTATTTGATCTCTTAACATTTTAAAATATTTGTGAAGACTTTAGAGTATAATACGAGTTATATGAAAAGACACTTATAAGATGATGCTTGGTGAATACTGCCGAGCCATTTAGCTTACCTCTGCCATGAATTAATAATTATTAACACATCTCTTAACCTTTGTTTAGACAATTTTGAGGTATGTTATATGCTATCTGTTTGTATGAATGGCTTTAATTGGTAAATTCCTTTTCAAAAGGAGTCAAAATTACCTATGAGGCTAGACTCGGATCTAGCTGACGTCAAATCCTTGTCTTGTCATACCTGCCTGATGGCTGATACTAAGCTAGGCTTTCGGTTTAATTGCACGTTATCTACAGATAGTTTCCTTTCCTGTCGTAAACTACTCTTATAAATACTAATAAGACTTTGTTTATTAAAGCTTGAATGTTGTTAATTTATTTACAGGTCAAAATCTTCTTGACATAAGTACATTCTGTTGTAACCATAACCTTTGGTCAAGTGTATATCATGTTATTTTATCCGTGTGTTCATCTTGTTGTTGTTGGAATGTAGTCAAAGTCCTCTTTCTAATAATTCATGTCTTGCTTCAATAAATACTTGTTATTATACTGACTTATCTTCAATTTTTAGCTTCCTTTTGGTGTCAATTGATAAATCATGTAGATACATGGTGTAGTACTAATCTTGGTAAAATTTATTAATGATGTGAATTTCTGTGCAGAATGATTTGAAGGAACTATGGTCACTTTTAAATTTACTTCTTCCTGAGGTTTTTGACAATAAGAAAGCCTTTAATGATTGGTTCTCAAAGCCATTTCAAAAGGAAGGTCCCACTCAAAATACAGAAGATGATTGGCTTGAGACTGAGAAAAAAGTTATCATTATCCATCGACTTCATCAGATTCTTGAGCCTTTCATGCTCAGACGCCGTGTTGAGGAAGTTGAGGGTTCACTACCACCAAAGGTTTGATTAGGACTCTTCCTTTATCTTTTACACTTTATCTGGTGTTACAATCCTAATATCTGTGCTGCATTGTAGGTCTCTATAGTTTTACGATGTAAGATGTCAGCTTTGCAGAGTGCCATTTATGACTGGGTCAAATCAACTGGTACCCTTCGACTTGATCCTGAAGGTGAGGAATCTAAGATACAAAAGAATCCGCTCTACCAGGCAAAAGAGTACAAGACTTTAAATAACAGATGCATGGAGTTACGGAAAACTTGTAATCATCCATGTCTTAATTACCCATTACTTAATGAATTATCTACAGATTTAATTGTAAAATCTTGTGGGAAATTGTGGATCCTGGATAGGATCCTTATAAAGCTTCAGAAAACTGGTCATAGAGTTTTGCTGTTTAGTACCATGACAAAACTTCTAGATGTATTGGAAGATTACCTGAATTGGCGAAGATTTGTGCACAGAAGAATTGATGGGACTACTAATTTGGATGACCGTGAATCAGCTATAATGGACTTTAATAGCCCTGATTCAGACTGTTTCATCTTCTTGCTTAGTATTCGAGCTGCTGGGAGAGGCCTTAACCTTCAGTCTGCTGACACTGTTGTCATTTATGATCCTGATCCAAACCCAAAAAATGAGGAGCAGGCTGTGGCCAGAGCTCATCGTATTGGACAGAAAAGAGAAGTCAGAGTTATCTACATGGAGGCTGTTGTTGACAAAATCTCTAGCCATCAGAAAGAGGATGAACTGAGAAGTGGAGGCACTGTTGATATGGAGGATGAACTTGTGGGTAAGGATCGCTATATAGGATCTGTTGAGAGCCTCATAAGGAACAATATTCAACAGTATAAGATAGATATGGCTGATGAGGTTATCAATGCTGGACGTTTTGATCAGAGGACAACACATGAAGAAAGGCGTTTGACTTTGGAGACATTGTTACATGATGAAGAAAGGTATCAAGAAAATGTCCATAATGTTCCTTCTCTTCAGGAGGTAAATCGCATGATTGCTAGGAGTGAAGAGGAAGTGGAGTTGTTTGATCAAATGGATGAAGAACTGGATTGGCCTGATGAGATGATGCAACATGAGGAGGTGCCTCAGTGGCTTCGAGCTAATACAAGAGAAGTGAATGCTGCTATTGCTTCTTTATCTAAAAGGCCATCAAAGAACACTTTATTGGGTGGTAGTATTGGCATGGACAGTGAGGTGGGATCCGAAAGGAGAAGGGGACGACCCAAGGGAAAAAAGCATCCTAATTATAAAGAGTTGGAAGATGAACATGGAGAATATTCTGAAGCAAGCTCTGAAGACAGAAATGAATATTCTGCACAAGAAGGGGAAACTGGAGACTTTGAAGATGAAGGGTATAGTGGGGCTGGACATCGATTGGAAGAGGGTGGTTTAGCTTCTGATGTTGGATATAACATTGCTCGATCTTCAGAAAATGCTAGACATAATCATGTGGTTGAAGAAGCTGATTCTTCAGGATCATCCTCTGACAGTCAAAGATTGACACAAACAATTTCACCATCAGTTTCTGCTCAGAAATTTGGTTCCCTCTCTGCGTTAGATGCCAGGCCAAGCTCCATTTCAAAAATATTGGTACATGGATTTTCTTTGTATTTTGATTATATTATAATTTTGTTTGGGACATTTTGATTAAATATCTTCTGATAACTTTTGCCAGGGAGATGAGTTAGAAGAAGGGGAAATTGCAGTATCAGGTGATTCTCACATGGATCATCAACAGTCAGGAAGTTGGATTCATGATCGTGATGAGGGGGAAGATGAACAGGTTTTGCAGAAACCCAAGATTAAGCGTAAACGAAGTCTTCGTGTACGTCCCCGCCATGCTATGGAAAGGCCTGAGGATAAGTCCAGCAGCGAGATGGTATCTCTTCATCGTGGAGAATCATCTCTTTTGGCTGACTATAAATATAAAATGCAAACAAGGGTTGATCCGGAATCAAAATCATTTGGAGAAAACAATGCTAGGAAGCATGATAAGAATGAAACATCATTAAAAAATAAGCAAAAATTATCTTCAAGGAAAGTAGCTAATACATCCAAATTACATGGATCTCCTAAGTCTAATCGTTTGAATTGCACATCTCCTCCTTCAGAGGACGGTGGTGAATACCCTAGAGAAAGTTGGGAGGGGAAGCCTCTTAATCCAAGTGGATCTACAGCTCATGGCACTAAGACGACTGAAATAATCCAAAGAGGAGTACGTGTCATTATGTGATCATTGTTGTCCTATTTTCTTCCCATGATGATTGTTGTTCATACTTCACTGCATGTTATATGGACTGCAAGTAGGAACCATTATTAATCTCAGTCTTAATTATGATAGAAGATTTTGATATAATACAGCAGGATCTTCTTGGGTTTTTCACCAGATGCAATTCTAAAAATACTACTTTCTTTCTTCTTTTTTTCCCTTAACCTTTCGTTAGCTATGTGAACTTAATCTCAGCTCTACTTGTTAAATAAATAAACCATGTTGGAGATGTTTCCTGTAGATTTTTGTCTACCTGTTCAATTTAAGTATATGAATATGACTTCACACGACATTTTCACCTGCAGTGCAAAAATGTAATTAGCAAGCTCCAAAGGAAAATAGACAAGGAAGGCCACCAGATTGTACCTTTGCTAACGGATTTGTGGAAGAGAATTGAGAATTCTGGGTATGCGGGTGGATCTGGGAACAGTCTGTTGGATTTACGGAAGATTGACCAGCGGATTGATAGAATGGATTATACTGGAGTAATGGAGCTCGTGTTTGACGTACAGTTCATGTTGAGGGGTTCAATGCATTTCTATGGATATTCATATGAGGTGAGATTTCTTATTCATGTTATTGTACGAAGTGAGGGAAACAAAATCTGATTACTTGTATTTGGAAAATTTATTGGTGTCCAAAGACAATTTGGCAGATAGTTAGGTATATATTATGTCTGATTTTCTGTCCAAAATTCAAAGGACCTGAAATTGGTAGAGTAGACTAGGATTGTTCGTATGATCTCCATATTTTAACTGCTAAAAGCTCTGAATGGTCATTATTTGCAGGTTAGATCTGAAGCAAGGAAGGTTCATGATCTCTTCTTTGATATCTTGAAAATTGCCTTTCCCGATACAGATTTCGGAGAGGCAAGAAGTACACTTTCTTTCTCTAGCCAAATTCCTGCTGGTTCTGCCGCATCCCCAAGGCAAGTTACAGTTTGCCCAAGCAAAAGGCAGAGAGTTACCAATGATGTGGAAACTGATCCAATCCCTTCACAAAAGCTGCCACAAAGGGGAGCAGCTTCTAATGGTGAAAGAACCAGGTTGAAAGGTCATTTGAAGGACTCCAGAACTGGAAGCGGCAGCAGCAGTGCCCGTGAGCAACTTCAGCAGGAGAATCCTCCAATGCTTACTCATCCAGGTCAGTTGGTTGTGTGCAAGAAGAAAAGAAATGATAGGGAAAAGTCACTGGGGAAGGGTAGGACTGGATCAGCAGGTCCTGTTTCTCCACCTGGTGCTATAAGAAGTCCAGGGTCAGGTTCCACCCCAAAGGATGCTAGATGGGGTAGCCAACCATCTCAACATTCAAATGGTTCTGGTGGGTCAGTTGGTTGGGCAAATCCTGTAAAGCGTTTGAGAACAGATTCTGGGAAGAGGAGACCAAGCCATATGTAGATTTTTTGGAGACAGGATGGTATATAACTGAAACATTATTGGTACTAGTTTTTCAGGAAGAGTTTTAGTTGCCCTTTTCTTTGATAGGGTTTAGCCCATACTCTGTTAATATAGAGTTAGTTCTTCAATTGTAGTTTATAGCTACCTCAATCAATGGGTTAAATTACAATGGTCTCCAATTTTTTTCTTTGGATATCTGCATCTTGCAGGTAATGCTTTTCTTTAGATAGCTGATGAATGTCTTGTATAGTAACTTCTTGGTTCATAGTAGCCCATACAAGGATTAATCTCTTCAACCTACACTTACCCCTTCCCAATCATTATATCAAATGCATAGACTATGAACTTTCTTTACATTCCTTTTCAGCACCATATCAGCATACCTTTAAATATATATATATATATATATATTACTCATGGTTACGGAAATTATTCAAAGCATGGTAACAAAACTAAGACTGTGATCTTCAGTTCTTGCTCTTGATTTGTTGCCACAGTTATTGTTTATGTCAAGTACCCCAAAAACAATACTACCCTAATTAGCATTTTGAGTTAGCTTAATGGAGCACGAAACCTTGTTATTTATATTCACACTAATCAATAAGTGACTCATGAATTGGATTTGCATTGACACTTTTTCCTAATCGGTTTCAAAAGGTTCTTCAAAAATTGTGTTCACCACTCAATACCAAACTTCGAGCAAAAGTCACCAGATAATGAAGAGTTTAGACATATGTCATCGATCACATGAAATATTTGTTTATGAATTATTTATATTTTCATATAACATTTAAACGTTTTGCACGTCTTTCTAAAGCAAACCATGGTTGATTTTCAAGGTTAATAATACATAATATTCTGTATATCTTTAACTTGAACACGTTTGTGAAACATACTTAGTCAGCGGGGACCCACAATTTTACTTAACTTTTTTTTTTAATTTCTATTTAATAGGGTAAATAGTTTCGGAACTGAAGAAAATTCAATTTAGAAGAGTTATAAGAAATCAAAATTGTGGATTCGATCTTCAAGATGGTTAAGCTTTCAAATTACATGGAGAAATGTTATTTTCAAATAATTAAATATGATTTATCTCTACCATAACAAACAAGTTTTGATTATAGTTTTAGGAAATATTTTTTTGAACATTCTAAAATTTTAAATTATTATTTTAATTCCTATTAAATAAGTACATTTTGATTATGATTCCTATATATTTTTTTTTCTAAAAGAAAGTCGGAAGTAAAAGAATATCTATTTTAAATTGGACAAAATTTTAGCATCAATCTGCATATTAAAATATTTCAATAAATGTAGTATATTATAAAAATAAAACTCTAAATATATAAACTCTTTCAAGAAAGAAAAATAAATAAATTTAATTTATTTATAAATTCATATTATCCTTTACATAAATAAATAAAAATAGAGATATAATATGGAAAATTTTCTACAAATTAACTCAATTATAAACTAATTTTAACATAAAAAATTATTTTCATAAAAAAAATTACGAAAAATATTGTCTAAAACATCTAAATTTAAATGAAAAAAAAAACTAAAAATGCTTATATTACATATTTTTTTTCTTTAAATTTAGCCCAACAAAGATAAAATAAATATCAATTTGTAGAAATATCGACTGCAAGGACAAGTCTTTGAAATTGTAGACCTTTGACGTAAATATTTCAACTTACTTTTAAAAAAATATTTCAAATAATTTCTTTTACTACAAAGACTTATTTATTTCTAACTTCTTTTCATATAAAGTCTCACACTTAATACTCCACTAAATACTAATATGTTAATGTGTGGGAATGGAACAATGTTAATTAGGTAATTCTTTGTTGTTAGGTTAAGTCCATGTTGCACCAACTATTAAGGGAAATAGAGAACAGGATTCACGTTATTTATTTGAAGAAGCATTAAACCAATACAAAGAGTGTCATGTATGTGCTACATTCTGAATTAAATTAATATGGCTAAACAGCACAATTGCTTGAAAGTATGTTAAACATGGAATGAGATTGCATCAGGAAATCAATGGTACTTTATTTACAGCGACAGGAAACTAGGAGGAATGAGACTTTTCCTCCTTAACCATAACAAGTTCACATGTGGTGAGGTGAATAAACAGAACTAGAACATCATGTACAGATAAAATACAAAGTTAAGAACAGGACATGCATGCGAAGCTAGGGGTCTGCTTTACCAACAACCTGTTCATCATTAGAATCATAATCATCTTCACTCATCTCCTCATCACTGGATTTCTCTTCTGTGACTTCCCCTATGTCTTCAGGTTTAGCATACTTCTCACAGTACTCTGAAAGCCGAAAACACATCACAAGTCATGTGTGAATTTAATAAAAAAGAAACACTTGATTGTTCTCGGAATGATTTCTTTTTTGAAGTGATACTGTCTAAGATAAACACACCTATATTTTTTAATGCTAATGTTATGCAGAATAAAATGAAATGAAATGAAATAAACTTACCACTTCATTGTCCATAGATAGATAGGGGGAAAGAAAAAAAAAAGAATACATTGAATACCATGAAATGGATTGCATTTCATTAGGTTTGTTTCCATTCCATCCTTATTCAAAAGGATTCAACCATGCATAATTCCATTTCGTCAAACCGTATTTCATCCCTTCTTTATTATATTCAAACATAGCAATAGGATGGTTTAGTCTGATCTCTAGAGTATAAACATTCCATTAAAGGCTGATTTTGTTTTGCAAAAACAAATTTATTAAAACTATAATCTGAGTACATCACTGCCATTCTTTTACAATGGTTAATATACCAAGTTTCCTCATGTTTCTATAATAGATTAATTCCATTAAACGGTTGTCTTACTCTCCATCCTTTCTCCTTTTAATGCTGCATATTATGTTAAGAATTAGAAGGTATCACAGAAAGCAGTCACATGATATTGGTGGCAGCTGTCAACAAAATAAGTTCCAGTGGCAGTTAATAGAAGGGTGGCAATTCGTTCTAATAATATGAATAAAATAATTGAATGATGTTAAGAATAATTAAAAAAGGAAGTTCCAATTTTTGTGAGTGAGTGTGCCTGCAGACACTGACACATTCAGGAAGATGCACATCCCAATTTACAGAGTAGTGATGGTAGCTCTACTACATCTACTACCCAAAGGTCTAAATTGTTGGTTCAAAATTCCCAATTGGTTTTGATCTTTGATAGTGGTTGGCATGAGAAAAAAAAAAACTGCATAGAAAACATATCAAGTCTTGACGCAGACAAGAAATGAGTGCAAATAAACTAATGCAAGAAATGCCGACTTAGAAACTGAACAGAAAGGATGAATACCTTTAACCCTGATCTCATAAGCAGATCGGTCTCGCATCATTAAAGCTGCAGCTTCTCCATTCAAGGGGTCTGATGGATTTGGATACAGCAGAAGTTGTGGAAGAAACACCTCAAACACATTAACAAGATCTGGAAGAAAGAAAGTAGTTTTGTTTGACATACAAGAACAAACCAAATATGTAAAAATATTAAACTTTGAACAAAACCACTCATTTAGAAAATTTATCGAATTTCATTACCAAACATGGGACTCCAGGTTTGATTGATAACATCCAGACAAACTGATCCTGACCTGAAATTATTGTTATCCGAGATTACCATATCAGACGTGCTGCCGCACAACTATTGTTATAGCTAATGCACATGTAAGCCACTCAATACAGACAAATTTCAGAACATTACTACTCTGTGCTCACATCTCATCAACATTTGGGTGATAGATCTTGTTGACAAAGCCAATGGAAGGAGATTTATAAGGATAAGCATCAGGCAATTCAACTCTCACTTTCCACACACCACCATGATAAGGACCTGCCAAAAGCCATCAAATAAAGGAAGCTCCATGATTCAGAAATATTGATAAGTATTTCAAATCAGGACAAAACAATCAGAGGTGAAATCAGCAACTATGGTGCTAAATCTGTTAAGGTAAAAGCCAACAAAAGTCTAGCTCATACCACTCCTTATCTGGCTAAACATCAGTTACATATTCATAGGAACAACTCCATAACAAGAAAAAGGGAAATCAATAAGAAAGTACAAAAACTATTAACAGAATTCACATAAAACACATAACAATCAACACAATAAACAGGAGGTGTAAAAAAAAGGTATTAATATCATCTTGTAGCTACACAAATCTAAATCCACCGAGGTCAAACAGCTATCTCCATCGTATAAAAAAACACGGCAAGAAAGGGAAAAAGACCCACCCACAAAAGAAAGCATCTAACTTGATGAGAAGTACCAAGTAAACAAGAAAGAAGAGGAGCAAAGGGAACTCACTGTCATTGGGTCCATGGAATTGCACATAAAATTCTTGCATTCCATCATTAATCATCTCCACCTTGTAATCACTCATCATCCTAGGGAAAAAAAGAAGAAGATAAAGAATACCCAGAATCAGAAAGGGAAGGGAAAAAGTGGCCAATAGAAAAAGATTGAAACTTTGATGGAATTGAACAAAGAAAGGATTAACAGTTTCATCAAGTCCATCTCTCTCCGCTTGCTGGGGGAAGACATGGTTTTGTGTGTGTTGGTTGGTCCCTTGCTTTGCCTTTTTTCTTCCTCTCTTTAACCTTTTCCTTTGGCAAGTGGAGAGAGAAGTTGCGATTGGAGACTTGTGCAGCTGAAAACATGTAAAATTTGGTTCAGACAGCAATCAGCACAACTAGCAGATAATAATAATAATATTTTTTTAATTATTAATTGTATTATTAGTTTTTTTTTACCCAAGTTTTAATTAATTGACATGTTTATTACGCAAATAAATGAATAATCAGTTTACATTTTTTTGTCATGAATAAAAGATAATTAAATAGGATATTTTATAATTATTTTAAATGAAATAAGATATCTTGTTATTTTTTATTGTGTTAAAAGTTTCCGACTATACTTTAAAATATATAGAAAAATAGTTATGATGTCTACGTTATTTCTCGTCATTTTTTTTTATTTGTGATTTTTTTAAAATTTTATTTTAAAATTTTGATGTTTTACAGTATTTTAATTATTTAATTTATTTTTTAACTTAATATCAATGAATAATATATACCAGAAAATTAATCTGATGTTTTATTGTACGTTCAAATATCACATAATATTGACATTTATTATACTTTTAAGTTATATTAATTGTTAAGAATGAAAATGAAAAATAAATTAAATTAAAAAATAGAAAACGAATTTTACGAAAATAGATGTAATAAAAAAAGGTACAATTAAGACAACTAATGAAGATGACGACGATACGATGTTCTAGTAGATTTCCGGTTACGCTAGGTACGTGGGCTTTCTATAATATTTTGTTTATGTGTCTGTGTTATGATAGTTTTTTTTTTTTTTTTAAATATTTTAAATTTTATCAGAAGTAATAAAGGGTAATCTTAATTTTTATTTCAATGTGGTTATATAAATAATATTAAAATAAGTTTTATTATTTTGAAAATTTTAAAAAATAAAGATTTTCAAATGGTTACTAAAAATGCATTAATTTTTCATTCTGTTTTCTTCAAATCAAATGTCCAGCCAATTTTTTTTTATGTTAAAAATATTGAAGTATTTAATTAAACTGATTTGATCAAAATTGACTATATATTTGATAAAAACATAGTAATGAAAAATTTTAGTTACATCATAATTATTTTATTTAGTTTTTAAATATGATCAAATTCAAATAAATTCAATAAATATTTTACAAATATATTCATCAAAAATATTATATTACTCATTTTTATTTTATTTTGAAATATTATTACCATGCATAAAATTAAATCTATTTCTTTATTTTTAAACATTACATATATATATATATATTAATGTTTTATTTATATTTTTACAATAAATATGTAAATTTACTTAAAATTGACAGTAAAGTGAGTGTATAATTGATAAAAATAATTAATATTATTTCAAATTTTGTAAGTGAAAAATAAACAAGGAAAAAACTTAAAAAAAATGTAAGAAGTGATACAATGATGGAAAATATTTTAAAAACTGTTTGTTAGATATGATATAAATAAAAATATGCTACTAATACTTCTCCATCTACATTAATATTTGGAGTATGCAATGTAAGTTTTAATATTATTACAAATTTTTGTATTAGTATTTTCGAGAAAATATTTACTTATTATCTTAACATTATAAGATGATATTAACTATTATTTATAAAAATCAATAATGTATAAAATGTTGATATAATAAATAGAAAAGATAAAGGTGTATTAATAAATTATACATATTAAAAAAATAGTTTTCAATTTACCTGTTGTAAATTTAAACCACTAATAAAGAAAAATTAAAACATAAGAGAGTCCCTTGAAAAATTATATTAATTTCTCGGATTTTTTTAGATGCAAAATACCGAAGAAAAGAAGAGTATAAAGGTTTGGGTACAAACATTATTTTATTGAAACTAGATTTAAATATAATAACTATTCTCAATATTATTCCATTTAAGAAATGAGAATATCTAATATTATGATAATATTATTTGAGATCAATTTTTATGTATAAATTATTATTCAATTTGAAACTTTCATTTATCTCGACTTAAAAAAAAGAGTGAAATTCATATATACCGAAATGATAAGGATAGTTTAATAAATGTAATGTTTATTTACACGACACTTCCTTTTACTTTTGTTTATTTTCTTAAATATAAATAAAAAGGGTCATGTTTAAATTTTACATAAACTAAATTATTATGAAACAATTTATATATATTTTTTTCAAATAATAGAAGCATATTTTATCTAAACAAAATTTAAAATAATAGTGACTTATTGATATATTTTTGTCACATTAATGAATTATTAATGGAATTTAAAAATTATAAAAAAATTATATTTTATAAGGATTAAATTAATACAAAATTTTGATAACGACTATTTTAAGTAATAAGACATTATATAATGGCAAAATTAATTTAATTAATTGTATTAATTTAATGTAAAAATTAATACTTTTATGAATGATAGAAATATTAAAAAAATAATATAAAAGTTTGGGAACCTACCGTTTAATCCTATAGATAATTTACCTTCTATTGATTGATGGATAATTTATCTATAGATACTTATATTCGTTCAAAAGTTTCTACCTTAAACCCTAAATATAAAACATTATCAGTGTTAGTGTGAAACTGAAGAATGATGAAATTGTTTCTTTCAAAACCTATTTTATCAAAATATAAAATTGAAAATATAAAAATACAAATTACTGACAAATAAAGGATTTTTTTTTTAAAATGAAAGTCCCTGTCTTTTAGGATTAAAGCTATGTTTGGAATTGTTGGTCTCTTAAAAAGTATGTTTAGTGGAGAAGTGAGGAAGGTGCTATTCTATGAACTTCCCACATCAAATACCAAACACATGGACTAAATTAATTAGTGGACAATTATACGATGAACTAGGCTTCTGTTGAATCAAAGGTGGTCCACAAAACTTTACTGTTCATAAACAGATGTTTTTTTTTTTAAAAAACAGTAGTACCTTGACGCTAAAATGAATTAAAAAATGTAACAAATTGAAATACCAACCAAACAAACAAACAATCAAATGGTTTAATCGTATATTTTTTTACTCATGAAATTTCTCCTTTGAACATTAACTTATTCGAGATGTAGAGATGGTTAAAGTGTGTATTGTTTTTTTCTCTAAGGTTTGATGTCAATGAACTTGTGATTCAATTATTGACTGATAGGGCAAAAGTTAGGAATTTATGATGTGATGTTGATGTTAGAGGTTAATTGTTCCATAAACGTACGTTTCTTTTCCTCTCTTTTATATTTGCAACTCTCATTAATAATGATGATGATAAGAAGAATATTATAGTTTTAAACTCTGGAACATCTAAGATTTCAAGAATTCAACTATTCAATTAACCTACAATATATGAGTTTAAAATTTAGAAAATGTTTGGTACACCTAATTCATATTTTATTTATTATTCCATCATGATATATATGATAAAACCAAATGATTAATTCAGGAAAGAAGTACTATTTTCATATATTAAATCACACTTCATAATTAGTTCCCTTATCAACCTTTGGATAGTCAAGCATTTTTTCTATAATCTGATATTCAAACTCTTGTAAATGAAAAGAAAAATGAAATTATTAAGAGAGAAAATTTGACTAAAAGTGATCATTAAAGCTTCTCCATCAAAATTATGGATAAAATAATTGAATTTCTAGTAATGATATAGTTTTAAAAAAATACGTATGCATGAATCTTAATAGAGTATGTGAGTATGTGTTGAATTAATGATTAGGAAGCTAAAAGACGTAAAATTGGTGTCGTTTTGGGGAAGTTGATAAATTGATTAGGAGCTAAAATTTTCAATATTGGACGGCATTATATAGTTTCAGTGGGTGACGCGCATTTGTTTAGTATTCGTGCTGCTTCTGCTTCTTTTCCAACTTAATAAAATTGATGGTAACCCTTTCCATAAATAAATTATATAAAATTGTTTTGGTATATATTTAAAACAGAGCAAGACTTTATAGTTTCAGGTAGATACTAATATTTTATTTTTAAATAAAAGATTATATTTTAATATACTTATAAATAAATAGCATGTGACTCGAGAGTTAAAAATAATAATAATTTATATATTTATCCTCTCATTCCATTAAAATAGCTTGTAATAACACTACTTAAATGGATCTAATAATAGTGTCGTAGTATGAATATGGAACAAGAATAATTATCAATCTATCCACAAAAATCAATGAAAATCTATGAGCTAACAAATAGCGTTTTGACCTTTAACGGAATATTATTTGTATTTATCATCTTTGATTTCTGTCTTCAACGGAGGATCCATGCATAAGATTTTAAATTTCCCATGACAATTATTGTCCTTTAAAATATAATTTCACATCACAATTAAACAAATGTTTTCACAACGTGAGTTTTCTTTGGTTTCCCTTATTAGTTTTAATAATAGTAAGAAGTTACCAAATTATAATTAAAATAATATTTTGTTAATTGAATCAAATTCAATGCCTTTTAAATTTAAATTCTATAATTTATATATTTTAATCATTGTTTTATCATCAGTAAAATAGCCTTCTCTTATATTATTTCTAATATTTTACTAGTGGAAGCAAATTTACGAAATACCCACACCCCATCCTAAAGACAACTAATTTTAAAGAAAAGAGAATTGAAGACTTAAGATTTTCATGAAACTAAATTTTTTTCTTTATACCATACGCCACTAAGTGTAAATCAAAAACAAAATCTTCAATTAATTATTTATTTAATAGTTAATATTAGCATTAATAAAGTTGCTTATTTATACATTTAATTTTTATAAGTTTAATTTATTTTCAAAGCAATGTTAATTTAAATATTATCATCAAATGTTAGATTCTACATTTTATATTTATTTTCATTTTATCTTTAAAATATTTTTTAACTTTTGTTTTTACTCTTTCTCATATAAAGCTTTATTTTATCACACGTATTTCTTTATTCACCAGTAAGACCCTTATTTTATTTATTTTTAAT